CCCTCGACTCCATCTCCACATCTAAACAGGATCATTTCAGCATGTATTTGCTGTTTTCATCTGGAAGCAAAAATAAGAAGTTTTGCAACTTAATATTCCAGTATCACTAAGTATAAGATTGGTTAAAGAAATTTAATGTTTTAATTTTCAAACAGCCAGAAACTAAACAAAATAGAAAGGCACCTAAGATGCTTTTCCATAAGCCTAGGAAACTTCAACAACTTTACAAAGAAACCACCATTTTAAGAACAGTTAATAATATACAGCTTGATATCCTATCCTTAAAAGACCAATTTGTTTTGGAATTCCTACTAGTAAAATTTAAAAAATGGATACCCCTCCCTCCTCCCCCAGTCCTTTTTTTACCATAATGAAGCAACCTTAGACAGACAAAACAAAGTCCTAAGTCTAGAAGTTAGCAAATCACATTCTTGTATCTCATTTAGCACATGCTGAGCAGATATAGCCCAAACATTTAAAAATATACAAAGCTGTCAAACTGTAGGAGAGCTTGCTTCCTAAAATGGATTTAACTATCCCATAAAATGGCCAGCATTGTTCTTCCCGAACTGATAGCTTCCCTGGAGGACTTACATGTCACATCCCAATCACTGGGCTGCCCTTCGAACAAACTGAAACAGATGCAACAAGCCCACTCTGTTCATTTCATTCATGCCTTTCCACCTACATTAAATTGTTTTGACAAGCCAGGACAAACAGTAAGGCTTCCCAGCACGTGATCCATGAATCTGTAGTGCCAGGGGCCTGAACGGAGACAGGCAGCAAGTGAAACAATTGTTCGGCTCAGAACAACTCAATAAGCTTTTCTTGGCTGTTTCCATTTATCCGTGTACTTCCCCTCTGATTTCTTTTCATCAGGAAAGAGCTATCAGAGATGTTTACATTATTCAATGTAAAACAGGGATCTTGGTCATTCATGATAAACCAGGTATAGGCTTACTCTTTCACTAACGTACTTAAAGGAGCACGAATTACACACAGAACTGCTACTACCCTCCTTCTATCCCTGTAACTAGGTGTCTTATGTAAATGCAAAAATCCCCAACCCAAAACAACCCCCCACCCCCAAGATTAGCTATTGTACCAAGCCACAGAAAGCAAAGCTCATCAGCAAAAAATGGCTATATTCCTTTGTCGATTTTTTTTCGGCCACAGCTTGATATCTATTCAGCATCCTCAACAAGGAAAGAAAAATACATTTCTGGCACCCAAATTAATCTTAAATTTCAACTGGATTGCTCACACACCTGTTGAGTCTGAGTAATTTCTCACACATTTTCCTTTCTAACTTTCCACAGTCCTTCTAAGTTCTGTCCTATTAACATGGTGACAAGAAATCACACATCTGCAAAACATGGTGCACTACCACAAGCCTTTGCAGACCCTGGCTCGGACACCTGAAGCAGCAGGAGAGCTGCCTTAGCAAGGCACCATACTCTGCTGAAGCCGAGTATGACGCATTTGAGTCTGCTCTTCATTCAGACTGAGCTCAACTAAGGCTCTCACTTCTGCTACCATTTTTACTA